CATTTGCTGAATTTTCGTATACAACAGTGAACACTTGGCGATAGGCGTGTCCCCGTTCAAAGCTAATTATGGATTCAATGTCAACTTCACCGATGTTCCGTCCAGTGAACAATGTTTACCGCTGGTGGAACAAAGAATTGATCAAATCAAAAATGTTCAACGTGAATTAAAAGATGCAATGGGCCTAACTCAAGAATTAATGAAGATGCAACATGATAGCAAAGTTCGAGATACGCCTAATTGGAAGAAAGGAGACAAGGTCTGGCTCAACAACAAGCACCTATCAACAACACGGCCCACAGCTAAGTTTGCCCATAGATGGGTAGGACCATTTGTTATTTCAGCGCGTGTGTCTAAAAATGCTTACAAGATTGTGTTACCTAAATCTATGAGTAAGGTACACCCTGTTTTTCACGTCAACCTATTAAGAAAATTCGAAGAAAGCAAGATACCAGGACATCACAAAATGCCGCCACCACCAATAGTTATGAATAATGAAGATGAATTTGAAATTAATGAAATACTTGATAAGAGAAAAAGAGGAAGAAAATTAGAGTATTTAATTAACTGGAAGGGATATGGTGAAGAACATGATTCATGGGAACCAGAAGAAGGTCTCAAGAATGCAAAACAATTAATGAATGATTTTAATAGAAAGTATCCAGATGCTGAAGTTAGATACAAAAGGACGAGGAGAAAGAAGTGAGGGTATGGCTTTTTCCCACTGGGTTTTTTAATGCCACCCGGGGATAGATGCTGGCCTGCAAGAGGAGGTAGAGACATAAAAGGGGGAGTGGTGTTATGACCTGTCACGCGTGTTACATGTAGAGTTCATACTAGTCTTGTCTCCCGTTGTGCATATTGCTTTTCCTCACTTAGCAATCTACTATATTCACGAGACCACCCTTAAAGCTTCTCTTGCATCTCCCTCTCGAAGCTACAACAGAAAGCTCAACTGATCATTATACTCATGAAGCAAACCATTTGATATTATTTCTTCTTCTCCTTTTTGAATTGAGACTTATGTATATTCATTCCTCTTGATGAATCTACCTCATGATGATTTTTGAATATGTATGTGCAAGGTACATATGATAGAATATCTTACTTGGATTCCATTCATCACTCAAATGAAGTTGAACATTATAGGTGATTTGACTTTAATTTCATGTTTTCTGAGTTTGCCTCATGGAATGATGATGATCTTTTGATTTGTTTTTTTGATATGAATTGTTGAAATTTTAATTTTCTTTTGGTGTTTTCAAAGTTTTGTATACAAACTTAAATTTTAATGTATTTTATTTTAATTGGTTTTTGAATTTGATTTGATTTTGTTTTTTTTTCTTTCCCGGTGTAAATTCGAATTAAATTTGATTTGATTTGATTTCTTTCTTTCTTTACCTCTAATCCCAAAAACAAAGACGAAAATCAAGAAAACCAAAAAACCTACCTCAACTTCAACTTCACCACCTTCATCAAACCAATCAATCATCTTTAAAAAGTTTTACAATGACATTACTTTGGGATTTATCTACTAAAGTCTTTGATCAATTACCTACCATTTCAGATTCTTATACTCAATGGATCCCTCCTCAATCTCCTCTATCGACTCCTTCTTCTGTCTTTGCTGCGATGATCACTTATCTTGCTGTAATCTTTGGTGGTCAAAAGTTAATGGCCGATCGAAAACCAATGCGTAAGTCCTCTTTCTGTTATAAACTCTTTTCACTTCACTGACTTTCCTTTGGTTTCGATGGCTTTTGGATTAGAATTAAGACCACTCTTTATGCTTCATAACCTTTTGTTATCGGCTGGATCTCTTTGGCTCTTAGCTTTGATGATTGAACAAGTAGCTCCGATTGTTTCAAACCATGGTTTCTTTTACGCTATCTGTCACGTTAATGCATGGACTCCAGAACTCGTCACACTTTATATGATCAATTACTAGTTCAGTTCCTTCATACTCTTTCCTTCTTTTCTTTCAAACCGTCTTTAACTCATCTCTTTTCTTGATTTCTTTTTTGATTTTCGATGATCACTTTTTTCAATTAGTTTCAAGTATTGGGAATTAGCAGATACATGTTTTTTAGTAGCCAAGAAGAAAAGTCTTCAATTCTTACACGTCTTTCATCATACTGCAACAGCTGTTTTATGTTTTACTCAATTAGGTGGTAGAACATCAGTCAGTTGGGTTCCGATTGTAGCTAATCTAACCGTTCATGTGATTATGTATTACGTACGTTCTTTTCTTCTTCTCACCCTATCCGTTCCCTTGAGAATTAAGAATTCTATCTTTGGTTATCTTGAGCACTGATCTCGATTTGATCTTTGGTTTTAGTATTATTTCACAACTTCTGCTTTTCCTGGTTATAAACCTTGGTATAAGAAAGCCTTGACTTCATTACAAATCAGTCAATTTGTCATTGATCTCTTTATTGTTTACTTTGCCTGTAAGCACACTTCAAACCTCGTCCGATTCACCCATCATCTGAAGCAAATCGAAATCTTACCGTTTCTTCTTCCTTTTATAGCATACTCATACTTTGCTGCTGAATATGGAGATTGGCCAACAATGGGAACTTGTACCGGTACAGAAGGAGCTGCCCTGTTTGGTTGTGCTTTACTGACCTCTTACTTATTTTTGGTAAGTCATCAAAACCTTTTTGGATCATTCTTTCTTCACCAATCTCTTGAAAACTTATCTTTGGTGTTTCTTTTTTCTTTCATAGTTTATTGCTTTCTATCGTAAGACTTATAAACAAAATGTTGCAGCAAGAAATGCGGCATCTAAACAAACTAGAGTGTTGGCTACTAAATGATAATTTAACTCTAGACCCTTTTAACCGTTTTTCTTTTAATTCTTTTTCTTTTTGGTGATATATATAGATGGATTCCGATCAGGTGTTTTCTTTTGATGTTTTCTTTTTTTCTTTTAAAGTACTCTTCTTCTTCTTCTTCTTCTTCTTTAAATTAGTTGATTTTATTTCTTTGGTTTAAATCAGTAGTAGAAGTAAACCTCTTATCCGTAACCAAACCCTTTCCTTTTGTTTTTCTTTTTTTAAACTTTCTATGAATTCCTTTTTTTTGTTTTTGCTTTTTTGTTTTTGACTTTTATTTTTATTTTATTTACCTTTTTTTTTTGTCTTTTTGGTTTTCTTTTTATCTCTTCTGCATCCTCTTGGTTTTATGATTCTTTTTTTCTTTTCTTCTCTCTTTCTCTCTCTCTCTTTATGATTTCTTTTCATGAAAACCTACTAAAAACTTAATTTAAAGATGATTTTTTTTTTTTGGAAACAAATGAACCAAAAACATCCAAGTAAGAATTAAATGGAAAATTCAAGTTAGGGAAATGTTTAAATTGGTTGATCCAGGTTTTGCTTGATTTTTGCTATGTTATGTAAGTTGAGCACAATCTGCTACATGAGTGTGATCCTTGATATTCTGATGGATGTGATTAGGTTTATATGATTGGAACATACCCAAATCAACCATGATAATCAGGATCACAAAGTCATATTACCTCAAGCATTGATATCATGGGAAACTTCTGTATACATACATTGAGCTCAGGAATGTTTGTAAACAATGAGATTTTCAATAACATGTTTGTCTTTCAGCCAGCGGTCTTGTGATCACTTGATTTTAAAGGGTGTTGTTGAAGTGCCTATGATATATTACAGGGGGATCCTTGAGAGTGGGAAGATGACTTGGGTGAAGAGTGTACAAGATGTAGGCATCTCCTGTGCTTCATATGGAAAGATGGGATTGTAACTGGCAGTAAGCAATCATGAAGTTTCATTAGTTTTGATTTCTGCCAGGGCTACCTGTCCACCAAGGCACCAGGATCTTATTTACACTAATTTGAAAATAAGGAAACACAAGATTGAGTACATAGAAGGGAATGTTTTTTGGCTCAAGTGGATTTTTTGTTGAGATGAAATGTATTGAATGAATTAAACGCCTCACGGTCCTGAGACCTGATTTTTATTTTTTCATTTCTGACTGATGGAAAGAGAAAAAATGACTATGACTCCTAAAACCTCCGACCCTAAGGGGCGGATACATGACTTTGGATATACAAATTAATATGAATAAGCCTATTGGGAGGGATGGTGGGTAATTAAAAATTTTTGTACTTTTTGAAAGATCGATATACAACAACAATTTTTATGTAACAGTATTATACTCACTTTAAATTTTTGTTGATAATGAACTTGGATGAATGTAAAAAAGATAACAAAATCAGTTGAGGGAAAAACTGGAAACCACTGCGCTCTCCAATACTTCACGACCGTCTACTCGTCTTTGAGATTGGATTTCTAATCCTTTCTTATTGGATAGCTTAATGTAGGTCTTCCCAGCTTCATTCTGATGTCATTTCGCATCTGTAACTAAATCTCTTCTTTGCCTGCTACCATTCCCGTTTGTCAAAACAAGTTCCAACTTCCAGGGAATTAGGCCAACCAGAGATCACAATCTTACAATTGCCAATTAACAAGTTCCAAGTCACACTGGAGGATCTCTTGGAACAGTTTTCACTCAAAACTGAGATTCTGAATAGTCAACTTCAACTTACACTGATTTATTGCAATACTAGAAAGTTAACAATCTGAAAACACTCAATTGTGTATGAGGTTTTGTGAAAGTCAACTTTGAATCCAAAAGTACATTTTCTCAAAATTATTCTTCCAACACATGACCTACGTAAAAGACTGGAAATATTTCAGACTTTTTCAAAGTTGGTTTATCCTGTGATTTCATGTACTTTTGCCTTAGGGCTTGCTCAGAACTGTGGACACATGTTTAGTGTGTGTATCAAATGGAAAAAGAAGACCCTTCTGCAGTCTCCAAAATCATTGAACAATGTAGATATAATGGTCAACCTAGTCCGGCTGTCTTATTTATCAAAAATCATCAAAATAATGACAAGATTTCAGTATTGGAGTTTGAAGGGTTGAAGGAGTTCTCTGATTGAACATCACTCTGGTTTGCTTATGGATTTTGATCAGATTATGTAACTTGTATGATCTTCTATCTATGTACAATTCCTAAACAACAAACACAGCCGCTAATTACTGGTCACTGGTAGGCTAGGGTATCCCGTGACTTGAAACTTTTTTTCAGTTTTTTTATTTGTTTTCCAGATGCTGTGCAACATATTTCAACCCCAGTTATCATAAAGATCTTGATCAGTATCCCAACTAAGTGTTAAACCAATTTTTGGCATATATTGAAAAGATCCTCATCAATAACAATCACACTACTTTTGAGAATGACCCAATTATTTGAGAATACTTTTAGAACAGTAGGACAAGTTGTTGACCTCATATAATGAAAAATTACAATTTTTATTCTGCTGAACACATAGGCTCCATCTCAACACTTCTTGGGCCTCCTGCTTATATGGCTAGCTGGGCAGGGTAGTGGATCATTGGTAGCCTAGTTGCTGCATGTAAAAATGGGATTTAGTGTATGTCCCTATCCCAGCATCAGACCTGTAAGATGTCACCTGACCTTCTTTTCCCATGCCTAGAACAGCAGTGCAATTAATTGCTGTCTCAGCACTATCCCAGGCATACCTTCCTCCAAGCCATGATAAATAAAAGTCACCCCACTTTTGAGAATGATGCAATTCTTGGAGAATACCTCTTGTGAAAGCACCACTCAGAGTGGAAAGAAACAAACCTCACTCCTAGAGAATGATTATAAAGGGCCAGAGTACACATCACACTCAAAATTTATGTTACCACAAGCATCCTCATTTTGAACAAGCCACATATTGCTTACAAGAAGACTCCTGGAAATAGCTACATTGTGTAAAATACAAAAGGATACTCATGATAGAGCTCCAATATCTAGGAACAAGATACATTTTTTTTTTGGATTTTTTGCTCTCTTTCTGGTGTCTCAGGATTTTTATACATCAATACTTTTGTTTTCTGGCCAGAAAATATCATATTTTTTGTAGTGCTATCTGATCAAATCTAGTTGAACACTTTTTTGAAGTTATGTTGAGTACAATGGGTTCACTGAACCTTTTTTGTGGGGGAGATCAAAATCTTTCAGGGAACAGTCAAAAAAGTTGATATACATCTTTTCACAGGATCAGAAAGTGAATACTAGTATAATATACTTGAGGATGTTCCGGTCAGAAATCAAGTACCAAATCAATTTCAGAGATTCTATGTACAATTCACATACTTGACTGGTTAAATGGTTCAATAAGAGAAACTAACTATCCAAAGATTTCCTTGAAGATTTCTTACTGAAGAAAAAAACTGTCCAAGTAGCATTCAGTTTGGCTGATCAGATTCAAGAAAAAAGTGGGATGGGATGAAAAGGATACAAGGAACAATATTGTTGGTAAGGAGTTGGTTGGGTTTAATTTTGTATCTTCAGACAATCAGGTCTGAGGCGTATGACCACATAATTCAATCTGAGTAGTAAACCTACAACAAACAGATGTCCAGTATGTTATCAAAAACTCCAAGACTCAAGCCGGCATGAGTCTGGGTCTAAACCTGCATTTTTTTCTACAAAAAAAGGTAAGGGTTTTGATAGTACATACCAGCTTCATTGAAGATTATTTATAAATCCTCAAAGTTTATTGTCAAAGGTATATCAAACTAAAACATGTCATGTCCAGTGGTTTGATTCCTTGGTCTTTCTTCATATAACTATATCTTGACTATGACAAGTCAAATACTCAAATAAACAGTGCACTAAAAAAGGTAATCAATGTACCATGATGTCTATCCTCAGTCAAGTTTATGGTATATTACATAATTGATCCATTTTTTCCTCTTGGTACAAGATAGTGAGAGGAATTCTCAGTAAAGTGAGGTATGCTGATGGAACAATTACCAAGCTCCCAGGACTTCATGTTAGAAAACTTGATCAATAAGCACTAAGAACATATCGAATACAAAATTAATTTGACTCATCAACTTTGTTTTACTGAATTAGAGCAATTTAATTCATGGAACTCTTGTTCTACATTTGATTCTGTAATGTTTCTTTACCAGTTTCCAATTTTCCACTTTTCCACCTGACATCGAGTTGGATCTAACTCCATTTCTTTAAAGCAAAGACATGTTTGCAAAGAGAAATAGATCATTACAGGAGATGATTAGATTTTTGAAAGAACCACTGTAGAACTCCTACGCAGTGTAGCGTAGGCTGAGCCGGAGAGGGGAAGAATCACCACTTGTGAGAGCGGATGAAACTACAGGTGCTGCAAAGCTGCCCTCGTCCTTCAAAAATGATTTCGAGTTTTAAGATGAGGCTTCTCTACTTTTCACTTCTTGTCTTTTTAAGTTTTCCCAAAACCTAATTTACACCACACGGTTGGATGTGCAGCGTTTGGCGGAGTCTAACAATACTACACACCACCCTACACAAGGTGGTAATGCAAGGATATGTGAACTGCGGTTGATTGTTGAATGTTACGCTGGTGTAACACAGCTGTACAGGACTGGAATAAATTCCCGAACCTGACTCGACCTGGCCTTGACTTGGATCAAGAGGCAGGTTTGGCAAAACTTGATGTAAATCACACAAAGTGTAATTATGATAGTAAAGAGGGGGAAAGGGTTTTATTGACGGCGGGGTCTTATCCGGAGGATTGAGTACTCGGACTCGGGGCCAAATTTCGATTTTTAGGTAATGAATGTAATAATAATAATAATAATAAGACTCTAACAAAGTTTTAAGACTATACACTTCAATCACCGAGCTCAGCAAAAAAAGAAAGACAGAAGAGACAACAAAACACTTGATAACAATCAAACTCAAGCTAGGATCAGTCTTCTTTGTCTCTGTTATCAAAGAAGTTCTACTACTGACTCAAAAAAACTAATACTCTTATTCAATAACCTTTAGGACTTGAACTTCAAATACACAACGTGAACATGACACTAACACAAAAGCACTCGATAACACTTTATTATAACGCACACACACAAAAAACACACACTGAAGGACACAAAACACACAAACACACAAATTGTTCTATAGATTGATTGATGGATTCATTCCTCTTTCCCCTCCTCTCAAGTGAAGCCCTCTTTATACATTTCCTCGATCCCAAACCCCAACTCGATCATTCACATCTCAGCTATCTCAACCCCAACCTGTTCTTTACCCCGACCGATCATTCTCAAAGTTGTTTAATGTCTATGTACGTATCTTCTTCTCATATGTATCTCTTCTTATATTTCGATCTCCAGCTCTGATTCCAATCTATAACTACTTCATTATAGGTTCTGCACCCCAAAATCGATCCCCCTATCAATAACATCTTCATCATGCTCTATCCAATTTCGATTTTGATCTTTGATGAAGGTATGAACCTTGGTAAGTCTTCTCTTCATTCTCTAAGAACTGTGACTCCATTCAAATCGATCCCAACCCCTTTCTAACTACCAACTTCAAAATCTCTCATCAATCCTTTATCTCAGATTTTAGACTATCACAACATTTTCGATTTTGAGGCTTCTTTTGATCTTGCATGCCAAGAGGTGGACACTCTTCAATCAATCTATAATCATATCATTTGAACTGACTGTACACTACCCTCTTTATCAATTGTATGGGCTTTTAGATCCCCAAAATCGAACCTCTTATGTATATGTCTTGTTAATTTCGATTTTGACCTGTACTTTAGGTGTTTATTTAATGCAACTTGTTGTATTATTTAAAGCTTTCTTGTAGTTATGTTATCTATGTTTGATATATATATCTTCAAATTTATTTTGAGTTGGAATCAAATAATAGAAACAATAATTGATTGAAATGAATATTACTAATCATCTGATTGGGAGTGAATGTGCCATAGTGAAAGGATGATTCCAATAGTGAGTATGTTCTCTATATGTTTCCTCTTATGAAGATTTTTTGTTTGTTTGTAATTTAGAACATAGAAATTAATATATGTCTTGATATTGAATGTAACCAGATAAAAAAGATCTTTGAATAATCCAGGAAGTCTCAGGTGTAGTCCTTGAAAGAGATGTAAATTGTAGATGTTTTGTAAGATTGAAGATTGAACCCTTTTGACATTTTGATTTCCACACCACCAAGATCATTCATATCATCATTCATATTAAAGGCAAACAAGCAATTCAAACAAAACTCGACAAAATCCACCATTAGTGCAATTTCCCAGTTTTGCACATGTGTCAGAAACCATTTTGAGGTTCATTTGTGGTTCCTGCATTCAAATTTGCAGTCATCTGGTGGCTGCTTTGCCTCTTTTCACCCCATCTGCCAATCCAACTTTGCAAGTCAATCCACACCTAGGCAACTTTCCTGAAGCACCCAACATCGCTCCCAATATGTATGTGCCTCACACAAATCTTCTTATTGATGGATCTAATGCAAATCCTGATATATGTATCTCCCTTCAACTTTGTCAATCTCCTTATCATCAAAACTCACAATCATCAAAGCCTGGAACATCAAATAAGAATCAGATTCATAGCCACATTCCTCCCTGAAGCGCCGGATCCAAACCAATCTTCTTACTCAACCAAAATCACAATATTTGCTAGATCCAAATCAACTTTTCAATTCGATCCAAATCAGATGTTCTGCTCGATCCAAATCAATCTGCTCACTGAATCAAAATTAATCCTTTTACTTGATCATAAGTACCTTTCTCCCTAATCAAAATCAAGCTCCCCATCGATATTCTTCCTGGATCTGAATCCAATGTTTGAATTTTATATTTAGGGAACCTATTTTTCCTTGCCTTTCATTCCTCCAAGCCTTCACTCACTCACGATCAATCAATTTGAGGCAAATCAATCAGTCCAAATGCAACATCAATTGATTTTTTGATCTTCAAATGTTATGGTTTTTGTCCTTGATCTTGGTGTTTTATGTAATTCAAAGTAAGCTTTTTACTGGGTTATTTTGTGTTATTAGTTGATTGCATAGAGGATGATAATACACTACACAAAATATAATATTTTCTGGGCAGAAAATTAAATTATTGATACACAAAAATATTGAGAGGCCAGGAGAAGGGCAAAAAATAAATAAAAATATGCAATCTTGTCCCTGCGGTGAGAGCTTCACTCTCCATATTTTTCCATCTTTTCACAGTCCGTCCTAGATCAGTGTACTAACAATAAACCTTCATAATCATCCAATTACAACCTGTAACAAGCACTGAAATTTGGCTCATTAGTGTTTAGAGAAACTTTTGATTTCTGAAAACGCCTATAACTTTGTCAAATCTGCATCAAAACACTCGATTTTAAGTGCATTAGAAAGCTGAACTCTTCCCCTCGAACTTTCATAAGATTAAGAACTATGTAGCTAGTATGACAATCATTCTATGGATCTGTATGTACAAATGTATAAAAAAGATGATATCTTTTTTAGCAGACCAGCATGCTGTGTGGTCCTCTTATGAACTATGTGGAGGACAATTCCAGCTTACCAATGCACCCAAAATCGAGCGTTTTGGACCGGAATTGAAAAAGTTATGAGTATTTTCAGAAATCAAAAGTGTCTCTAAACACTAATGAGCCAAATTTCAGTGCTTGTTACAGGTTGTAATTGGATGATTGTGAAGGTTTATTGTTAGTACACTTATCAATATGGACTGTAAAAATACGGAAAAATATGGAGAGTGAAGCTCTCACCGCAGGGAACAAGATGCATATTTTTATTTATTTGTTGCCCTTCTCCTGGCCTCTCAATATTTTTGTGTATCAATAATTTAATTTTCTGCCCAGAAAACATTATATTTCTTGTAGTGATATACACTAAAAATACGGGATTGTTTCTCTTTATATTGTTTATCTTGATCGGCATGCAGTCAACTAATTATTTCTAAGGAAAATCAATCAGGTTATTGATTTTAAAACACCATCAAGTTCCTTATGAAATTTGATTAAGGGTTTCCAATTCCGAAGTATAGATCAATGTTAGTTACTTCACCACACAAGTATCAGCCCACATATTGAAGTGTGGAGGACTGAGCGATGCAAGTCGCGCAGATGGCTGCCCCTTCAATCAATCAAACTGCTACAAACTATATTGCTTCAAAACTACCCACTGGGCAGACATTATCAAGACACACAACTTTAACAGCATGTTCAAGAAGTCGAAGGTAACACTTTTATCATCGCTGCCAAAGCTGAAGCTTTCCTTCAAACCGTACGATCTCAACCTGGTAATCTTCAACCTCCTCAGATCTCACAAGAGACTTTCAATTCAGACAAATAATTTCCCAACCTCACTGCCTATGCAAACACATACCAAACTCAACTAGAACAGATCACAACTGGGTTTGACGCACAATTACACCAGGAAACATTGGACCAACTCAACTTACATACCTCTGACCTTACTGTATCATCCGCGAACGTGCGACCATCTTCTCAGTTACGCTCATGCAAGGTATTTTATAATCCAAACGATGCAACTGTCGTACTCCGCTACTACATAACCTCATCAAACTTCATTCAAATCATCTACCCTCACCGTTACTCTTATCATGCGTGTCTCATTCACAGGGTGATTATGTTAGTTTGTTATTATACAACATCCAGATCCTATCGATCGAACCGGCACATGCTTGTAATCTTTTTCTTCTTTCTTCCGCTTTGCATCCTCATTATTGTTCTTATATATCTCCTATCTTCCCTTTACCATGTCCATCCTCGCTAAGACGGATCGATCCACTCTTTTCTTCGATATTGTGAATGCCCTGAAAACATCATCAAAGCTTATTCATAATCCTTTTGATGTTTGCTGACAATGTACAGGTGGAAGCATAGTGCAATCTTGGTACGACCCAACAAGCGTTCAAAAAATGGGCTGAAGTTGAAGAATGGTGGTGGCAAGCGATCAGACTGCGACCGTAGGTAGTGATGTAAACTTCATTCATTCATCATGTCTGCTCTTCAATCACTTCATGACAGAACTATCCAAGAGTTATTTTTTGATCTTCTTTGACCTGAAATTCCATCAGATTGATCAATCAGTCAGTTTCACGGCGAAAGAAACCCATTGGAAAGTTCGCTTTTTTTCTTCAGGTGATGCTTCAATCAAATAAATAACTAATATCTTTCCCAAGTTCACTGAATTGAACTCTTGGGATTAAATTGGTACATCTCCTTTCAACTTTTTCAACCATTTATAATGTTGATGTTGGAGAAAACTGACTATGAGTTCTTTTGTTTCTTTTCATGGTTAATTGGGTTTTTGATTGAATGCTTTTCAAAATCACTCAACATCAAAGCAATAATCATTTGATCATCGATTTCAACTTGTGTGATCCGGAGGTATGTTTTGTTTTGTTTTACCCTCAATTTCTCAAAATCTTACCTGTGTGAAAAATTTCACTTATCATGATTTGTTGTTTTGTTCAATAATTTTGGAATCACAGCACTTCATACCAATGACCATTGATCTTTTTGGACTCAGACCTTGCCTCCTCAACTCATGAACCTCAAGATTCTAACAGTATCAAGTGAGTATCTTATGATGAGTCAAGGTAAAGCCTCTGTTGGTGGAGACTAAGAATGGTTGCATGGGTTTTGCACATCTCTCCACTTATGCATCAAAATGATCAATTGAAGTTGATTGACTTGCTATTGTGGCCATATTCTTTGTAGTTCAAGTGAGCTCACTTGATCAAAAGGCTTATTGAAACAATGAAGTGCCATTGGCCTGCTTATTCAGATTCAGGTTTTGATCATTTATTCTTAACAGATGGTAGAAAAAATGGTCTTGAGAACCTCTTCCATAATTATATCCAAAGGTAACAGGCATTCTATGACAAGAGATGCTTGAACTGATGCAAGTTTCAAACTCGTGATGCTGAAGAAAGGTTTGTAAATAATGCTTGTTTGTAAACTTGACATTCAACAACTAACCATCTACTATTGCAATTGGTAGCCTGATTTCTTCAAGCCTTTTGCTCTTCATCATGTGATATAATTTGACTCATATTAATATTATGTTATGACTTTTATTTCAAAAGCCATGTTGAAACATCTGTGGGTTCCAAAAGGGGTTTACATTTCCCAGCCTACAATTGAGTGAACTTCCTGGGCCAATATCATCACATACAATAGTGATACTACATACTACATCTCAATCAGATATTTTGCTTTCTGAATATATTTGAGGCATTCAATTTGCTTATTCAGTTGCTGGAGAATCAAGCATGTTTTGAGCATGACATAGTTCCTGCCCAGCACCAACAGATAAGAATAAATAAGCAAATTGTTGAAAATGTTGAATTTCCTTTATGACACTACTCAATATTTTTTCATTGTTTTCCTTGAGTGCCCTTGCACTAGCCTGAAAGACGCTAGTAGCTCACAGATGGAAATCATGACGGTATCTTGAAGAATCGGAAGAATGATCATACTCATGGTATTGTCTGCTGCTAATTGGCTAACATGGGGCAGATTGTCTTATCAACTCACATCAAGGCTAAAGTTTATTTTAGTTTACAAGAATATTCTTTCCATTCAATCACACCTGATCTTGATTCTATTCATCAACACCAAATGAAATCATCTCAAGATTGGTCTAAGTTATCTAGAGCTACTAATTGTCAATCTCTCATACCTTCTTCATCCGAGCATCAAATTGGTTGAGACCCAGAGTATTGGTGGTTTATCAACCTAAGTGTCTTTTGCCTATTTTTTCATGAATTTTATCAACATGCACCATAACATGTTCTATGTGTGTTCACCATTCAAATTCCAACAATGACCTGTGAGTTTGAAATGTGTGCATTCTCACTTCTATGGCTACAAATTAGCCTTAGTTGGCTGATGACAGCTCCTCAAAGATAAGGCAAGGGTAACAGTAAGTTCAGGTGGAGGGTATACACTTTGGATAAAACAAAGGTTATATGTGTATCAAGAGAGGGATAAGCAGGGATGCAGGAATGAGTACCGAGTATGAGTATATACTCAACTGATACTCACTTTGTAGGGGTTTACAGGGCCAAAAATCGGCAAAAATACTCAGTATACTCAATAATACTCACTTTACTGAGTAAACTCATACTCACTCCTGCATCTCTTATCCCAGATAAGAGATGAGGATTAGAGCTTAAAAGTGAGAGATTCCATGGCTCAGTGTGCAAAGGCATAGGATGGGGCTACAAACAATACAGACAAGATGTGATGAGAGTTAAGTAGAGAAATAAGATTTATAATTATGACGTAAGATGCAACTTGAAAAAGTGGGAAATTAAATGAATATGTCACTGCGCCAAATTGCAAATTTACCGTGGAGTTTAGAAAATTGCGTAGACATAGAAAATTATAGAGAAGCTGGCAAGGGTCAGAAAAATATGAAAAAAGAATGGGAGGGCCCTTTGATGCATTCCGATTGTCTGGCATATTTTTTCATATTTTTAAAACCACAATGCATATAATACTACACAAAATATAATATCTTCTGGGCAGAAAATATAAAAACCAACAAACAGTGATATTGAGCAGTCTTGGAGAGAGACAAAAATACACAAAAATATGCATATTGTTCCTATGGCTGAGACCTTGGATTTGAGTATTTTTTTGTATTTTCAGTGTGCAGATTGTTGATTGTACTAACAGAAAACCTCCAAGTTTCTCAGATTACAACCTGTAACATGGATTGGAATTTGGCCAAGGGGTGACAAGGGGATATCTGGAATTCTATATCCCTCATATCTTTTGCAATTCTGGGTCAAAAAACTTGATATTTAGCTGATTAGGAAGCCATAAAATGCATTTGAATGTTATGTTAATGCATCAAATCTGTAGCTCCGCTACAAAAAAACCTATTTGTCTTCAAAATAATTTCCTATATAGCCACATAGATATTCTTTGGGATTAGATGCAGGTTTTGTGTCTCAATGAAAGATATAGTCACAGAGTTTGGCTTTCCAATGAACAAAAAATCAAGTGGTTTGACCAAGAATTGACAAAGATATAAGGGGTTGTTGAATTCAAATTATGCCCTCCAATGTCTGTTACAGGTTGTAATCTAACAATCCTGGAGGTGTTTTGTTAGTACAATCAACAATTCTCACACTAAAAATACAAAAAAATACTCAAATCCAAGGTCTCAGCCATAGGCACAATATGCATTTTTATTTTTATTTTTGTCTCTCTCCAAGACTGCTCAATATCACTGTTTGTTGGTTTTTATATTTTCTGCGCAGAATATATTATATTTTGTGTAGTATTATATGCATTGTGGTTTTAAAAATATGACAAAATATTCCAGACAATCGGAATGCATCTAAGGGCCCTCCCATTATTTTTTCATATTTTTCTGACCCTTGCCAGCTTCTCTATAATTTTCTATGTCTACGCAATTTTCTAAACTCCACGGTAAATTTGCAATTTGGCGCAGTGTGTGTTTGCACAAGTTCGATCAAATGGGTGTCTGCATCACATAAAAAGTTTGCATAAGAGGGAGGGGAAGATATATCACAAATGGTGATTGATAGAAGTTAAATGTGATGGCCGTAAGCATAAGAATGTACATAATAAGCTCAAACCAATGCTGTCTGATTGATATAAAGTGTAAATTGGAGTGGAGGTGATGAAAATCTTGTGAAAGACGGAATAGGAAGAGATTCCACATGATAGATCATACAAGTTAAGAGCAAACCCAGTTCGCCCAAAACTGAATAAAATTTGGGCAAAACCTGGGTTAAACCCTTTTTTTCACCCTTACCTACCCCCTTAGCCCACGTACCTGTAAGTGAATCCTACCTCTCAATTGCTTCTCACCTCATTCACTTTTTTATCCTGAGTGCCCTTCACTCTCCCAATTGTTCAAATATTATGTTATTTCATGTCATTGATATCACAACGTAGCAGGAATTGAAGATTCATCACATGTTAGTATTCCTTTCCTTTGCATGAATATCATTCCGAGAGTGAAGAAACCAAATCTGATGTTTCTCTTTTTTAAATCTTTATTTAGTACTTGATGTTAGAATTGGATGAGATTTGCTTATTCCATGTAGGAAGAGATCATTCAATTGGCAATGTGAATCATTGAATTGATTTGTAACTTTCTTGATGTTTTTTAGGTATAGAGGAAACAAGACCAACAAAGCCTTATAAAACATAAATGAAAAGGAACTGAAAAAGATTTCAAAAACCTTTCTTTAGGTTTGATTTAAATGAAATCATAGGAATCAAATCAAACTCTAGAAACTCAATGAAGTTTAAGCCAAGCCTAAGGGAACGAGCTGGAATTCCAAATTATCTCAACCAATGGAACACATCAAGACCAGACAAAGATTTGATAGGATCCTCGAGTCGGATTTGAATACCTGAAGATGATAAGCAAGGGATTGAGCCATCAAAACCAACGAGTTCAATAACAAGAACTCAAGCAGAAAGACTCAAAACAAACTATAGGGAAAGAATGGTATCTTTAGATTTATTACAAGACCTATCAATTCCGAACAACAAAGTGAATCAAGAAGAAACCAGTCTTTTCGAATCATCAGATCAAGAAGATCAAAATGAATTTGATTTCTTTAATGGATCAGAATATCAAACCATATCAAGACTGGTTTCCAAATCTTTAGAAGAAAAATAGGTTTTGTTTGATCGATCGATTAGTTTTTGACAAGATTAAATAAATCTGAATGGTTTTGGTTGTTGACCATTTGATTTTGAAGCGAAGATCCGATTCAGTCACGACTCAGCAGTGGCAGTGGAAAGAGAAAAGAAGGAGAACTCAACTTTCTCTTCAATCTAACCTCGATCATTTCCAATGACCTCAGTCTCAACTTCACAACTCAAATCAAATCAATCGAAACATCAAAACTATCATATCATCAGTCAAGATGGCTTCATCATCAAATTCACATATGCCACCACCACCTCCCAACAATCAATCTCTACCTCTTCCACCACATCTAGCTTCGTTTCCTGCTGTCTCATATCAGGTTAGTATTATAATTAAACCATTTGAAATGATCCATTCTTACTTCATTTCATCTCACTTTTTAATAGGAAACCGCGCCAATGTCTAAAGAACAATTAGATCCTAAATCGAAAAAGTGGATTCAATTTCAAGCTCGAAAGTATGCAGATAAACAACTCAAAACCAGTTTTATTGATACTGGAGAACAAGAGATGTAACCTGAACATATGTTCCATAAAAGTGATTGCGATTTGCCAACTGGATGATCCTACTGATTTTTTTGGATTGGATTGGTGTTTAGACGTTCGAAAAATTATCAAAGATCGTGGTGATCTTTCAAATCGAAAGTTTAGAATTGACAAAAGAGTTCATTTAGATGCCCTTGAATATGTTCCTCTTGCAGTTATGAAACTATTAAAAACATGACAATGCCTCAGGAACAAGTCCGGTCTGTTCAATCTTCCATTGATGTCTCATTCAAACGTCTTGGATTCCTTCTCCTCTCAATTCTAATTCTGTCTGATTACAAATTTCAGTGAAGTACTGACAATCTATCATATCACAGGTGCTATTACTTTTGTCAATGTAGTTCCAAAATTCATCCCACCTGTCTATCATGCTCAATGGGCTTTGATGTGGTTATTGATGAGACGCGAAACGCGATCGAAGACATTTCAACAGGATGTGTTTCCCTCCTTTCGATGACAAAGAACCACCACTCGATTACGGTGATAACATCCTTGATACCAAACCTTCAGAAGCCATACAGATGTATCTAGATGAAGATGAAGACACTCCAGTCTTTGATTGGTTACATGATCATAAACCACCAGCAAAGAAGTACAAAGGTGTTCAATACGTCAACGGGACGAGTTACAAATCTTGGCAATTGAACTTGGGGATGATGAGCACACTTACTCGGATCGGTCGAAATTTGATCAGTGATTTCATTGAGGATAATTACTTTTATCTCTTCGAGCAAAAGGCTTTCTTTACTGTGAAGGCAATGAACATGGCGATCCCTGGAGGCAGGCTCTCTTCGCTATCATTGATTCTTCTTTGTATTGGTCTGAAATGTTATTTCATTTGAATATAGCGCACGTTTTAAACCCCTGCATCATGATGCAGAATCGTATGATGACGAGTGGAATGAATTTAACAATATCAACAAAGTCATCATTCGTCAACAGATCCGGACCAAATATTGTGTGGCTTTCCCTCACCTTCATAATTCAAGACCTCGAAGTGTTCATATTCCCAAAGTATCACAAAGTCAACACTTTATTCATCTGAGTCAAAGATCCTGAACTACCTACATTCTATTTTGACCCGATCATTCATCCAATCGTAAGTCGCGTCTGAGAGCTTTCAAAGAAGCTGATTTGGTTTTTTTCAACAGTAAGTTATAAGTCCCATATGTTCATGCTCCTGCTTCAATACTCAACGCCTCGGTTCCTCACAATTCCACATGTTTTTTGCTTTTTGAAATTTTGCAGCGTACAAGAAGTTAATTCCTGTGTATGACATCAAAACTATCCAGAAGATTACTGATGCATACCTGGATCAGTTCTTGTACTGTTAGTAATGCTATAACAATCACATTGTGTAGAGTCATGCTCTGATGAAGAGATTATAGATGAAAAAAGGTTCATATCATTAATCAATTGAAACTGATCATTTGTTATGAGAAATTCCAGAGAATCATTTCATAGACAATCAGGATCATCAATTGAATTCAAAAGATGATTCTTCAAATTTAAATACTCAAAGCAATGAATTTTTTAGTAAAGACAAATCACAAAAATGAATTTTCTAAAGAAATGTGCATCCAAAAGCCCTTCAAATTCTTCAACATTAATTATTACCCATTCATTATCACTTCTTCTGGATATTCTGATACTCCTTCTGGTTCTTAATGGTGTTTCAGTCAGATTGATTGTTTTTCAAAATAATTCTCCTCATTCTAATGCTATTTGATCTGATATCATAAAACTAAAGGCACGACCATGTTTCTCGGCGAAACTAGATTAAACCCCTTAAGCCCCCTTACACTATCTTAAGGCCCAATTCCCAATGTTTTTTCCCCCCTAAGCTTCTTTCAGCCTCCTTCCCCAATCTTGCTTTCCCCTACCAATACGCCCAATTTCCAATTCTCCTTGCTCTTAGTAATTCATGTCTCACAATCCTGATTGCTTGCACATCGTTCCGGGCCTTCGATATCTCCCCAAAGTCTCCCCAAAACCGATCCTCTCAAAACTTTACGGACAATCTGCTTTCTCATTCCTTTTAGCACTCGCATTATACGGACTCATTTGGCATGTTTCAATTCGATTTGATGTCTTTACGGCTACTTCTTCAGGTCGCGACGCTCAACGTTTCGAAACGCATGCCACACGGTATCTCCTGTCCAGACTTGCTATACTCCATCTCCATGGACAACTTTCACGGCGAAAATGCTCAACCCTCCGAAACATGAGTTACACGATTCCACCTGAGTATTTTGATTGTTTCAGCGACCCAACGTGGATTACCCTTGTGGCGATAATTTCTGATAACCTATCTTTGCAAAGTTTCAAACGCTTCAGTGATAATCACACTGCGATGAGTGAACCCCGGAAGTCTAAAAGTTCCCGTGTATGTAAGTTTGTGTTTTTTGTGTCAAATTGGCTAGCGTTTCTTACATTCAGTTGCTCTGGTTCGCCACTATATTACCTCCAATTCTACCTCATTTACTGCTTTCTTTGTTCGTCCCCAGATCTGTTTCCATACAATCGGTCAAGGCTTTATCCAAAAACTCCAAGACTATCTATTCATTGTGCGTGATCAGTCCATGAATACGTTTCCACAGTCGCTTACCTTATTAAAAAGTTTGATTTTCATAGTATTACTTGCTGCAAGACTCAATTCCTAAACAACCATAAAATGGATTTGGTTCATAATTCGACTCCCGCTATGGCTATTGCAAACAATCTTCCAGTCGAGATAGTGCGTTCGATTCTAAAGGAGGTAATCTTGGAACTCCCAGTTGTACCTTCCAATTCCGCCAATAGTGAAGACTTTCAATCTCTGCGACACGACTCTGTCAGACGGCTCCTTCAATTTCGATTATTCGGTCAATCGTGGAACAACACCATTATTCCACTTGTGTTTCAAAATTTACGCCTGACTCGTAATCCTATGATCGACGGTTTGACCAACGCATGGACGGGACGATTTATCACACCGAGCTACCCTCAGCTTCGAACTCTTTACCTCGACGGTATTTGGTATTCAATGCCCGCTCCTACGTCGCTACCTGGGGTAGTCTCGACATGCGCTCCTTATCCGTATGGTTGTTCGATCCTGCCTGACACTGCGGCATCAATCATTTCACTGTGTGCTACCTCGTTAGTTCGCTTAAAATTGCGATATGTTGAGATTGTCGGCGTCTCACCTGTTCTTATAAATGCAATCCACGGCGTTTCCAACCTTAAAAATCTGGAAATCATAGGATCTCAATCTCCAGACAAGATGCACGACTACCATTCTTTGAAAACTCTTTTGGAAGGCACGGTTTCTCTTGAGTCGTTATCCATCCTGTTCGGAGCGCTACCATCGATGCAATTACGACGAGGTTCCCTCCCACATTTGAAACACTTCTACTTATCTTGCGACAACAAAAATCGCCGCGCCGGAATCGACATCTGCCGCGCAAGAGAGAGACAAATCGAGTGCTTGGAATTATTTCCACCTGGTAACCCCGACCCAACAGCGGACATTGTTTTGGGTCTCATGCCGACCCTTGAAACATTATTCATAATTTCTATCCCAGATTGTGTTCCCCACCAAATTCGTAATCGCGTTTTTCCACTTCTCAGGACATTACGATGCGAGTATTCACATTCACCCAAACTCCATCTTTGATGGCTGAAATGGCGTATGCTCGAAACGGTTGAAGTCCTGGTTACAACGTATATCTCTGGCAATACTTATTGGCGGGATATGTTGGAGTCAAACCACCCGGCCACTATTCCTAGACCTCCTTCTCTGAAACATATTGTGTTTACAATTGCTGAAACCCACGAAATGGAAGACTCATTCTTAATTGATGCATTCGCCGAAATCGGGATTAAATGCCACTTTATGCCTCCAATGACCCGAGCTCAGATCACAGTACGTGATGTTTGTTCTCTCACCTTTCTAACCATTCCTATATTGACACTTTCGACTACTCCAGAAACTTCCAGACAAACTCCAAAGTTCACAAACACATTAATTGATTCAGGGAAGAAGAGTGCGATTGTTTTTGATTTCCTGGAGATTTTTTAAATCCCAAACATGGGGACACACAGTTATCATAGCTTTGGGTCCTTGCGGTTCTCTTTTAGATAAACTGCTATTTTTCCTAACCGTCTGCTTGCTTTTTGTGAATTAAATTTATTTGTTTCAAATTGGTGATTCTTTTGCGTTTAATAGTTTTTGTAATTTGGTTTTTCTGTTATGCCCTTGCGATGTGTTGTATCTACATCCATCCAAAACTATGAATCAGCCTCTTGAGATTGGGCCATTGGCACCAATGTTGAATTTGGCCCGTACTGATGCCAATGAGTCGAAATTGAGCTCACTTCATCCAAAGAACTCCCACCATCCATCTATTCGGTCTATACTTAAACATGATTACATTTAGTTTTGAAAACATTCTCTTAGGCTTCAGGCTGACATTAGTCAAAGGTGTTATCCCTGCGCTGAAGTTCATAAATAACTCCCCAAATGGTTGATTGGCTCCCTGCGAAACTTCGGGTACCAACTCAAAAACTCAACATCTCAGACACGGATCCACAAAATTGGGTCGTGGGCCCGGCATTTAACAATAACAATACCCAAATCTATGAAAACTTCTGGGGAAATTTTACGCTCAACCAATTCGCCAACGAAACCATTTCTTTTTAGAAACCTCACCCCAATTTCCACGCGGCAGCCGAATTGAAATTGGGGGAATCTTTTCGCTACGCACAAAGCAAAACAGTCACAGCTTCTCGTGGTCCATTCCTTTTCACATCAATTATATCTATGAAAAAGGAGCGACTCAAGATTATCACTCTCGCATACGATATTCACCACTACAAGTTAATCAATATCAGCCAACAAGCGTCGTTTCCAGCAACATATTTTCAGAAAGGTTTCCGCCTACCACACTCTGATATTCACAACAGGGACACATTCAACAACGACACGATTCCCTTTACGCAGAAGTTTCCATTGAACGCCACATCTACGCGGACAATCCTGGCGGCGACGTTGTTCCCCAACTTGATCTTAGGTATTGAATCGCATCGTGCAAATACCGATACAATAAATGACTCGATACGCACTTATACAAAATTCTTATTCACGTAGCCGCATCTGCGCGTGCCCGGCCCAACTACCAATCATTTCAATTCGAAGCTATTTGTTCCAACCCCTTTGAAATAGTACATCTCTACCAACCCCATTTTTCACTCGTTATCTTTGATATCAAGGGTATCAATCTTTCCTCGAGTCACGCATCATTAGCAAGTTATCACTATCGATCAAGCGCGTCAAAACACTCAAATACATGTAAGCAAGATTGCACAAGACATAAATCATACAATATCACTTTCGCTTAGTTGCATTCTGATCCATTCTGAACTGGCATCTTGTGTAACCAACGTCCAAATCCGCCACAGAACCTCCATCTACCTTGCCCATGTCTTGCTCAACAGACTTACCCGTCGAGGTTGTAGATATAATTATCAAACAAATTATATCCAAATTACCACTAATGCCTTCTGACACCAACGACAGTGGAAACACAAGATCACCACGCCACGAGCACATGAGTCAGGTCCTTCAACTACGTTTATTAAGCCGAACCTGGAATACTTCCGTCATACCCCTTGTATTCCACACTTTGCATCTTGCTCGCGACACTATGACCACAAGCCTTGGTGACGCGTGGACGAGGCGTTCAATGATCACCACCTCGCCCCAACTGCGGAACCTCTTCCTGGACAACGTTTGGCATTCAATGCCGTCGCCCATGTCAGTGCCTGGTATTGTTTCGACATGCGGCACATTGCCTTATCCCCTCTCAATCCTACCTGAAAGCGCAGCTTCTATCATTTCATTGTCGGCTGCGACTTTGGTAAACCTAAACCTACGATTCATCGAGGTTGTTGGGTTTTCGCCTGTGCTTTTGCATGCAATACAGAGTGTTACAAACCTCGAAAGGCTTGCGATCCTGGGACCTCAATCTTCACACAACGTCAACGATTTCATGTCTCTCAAGACCCTCTTAGAAAACACTCCTTCATTACAGTCCTTAGCCATCAAATTTTCATCATTGCCGTCCATGCGTCTACGCCCAGGATCACTTCCGCGTTTATCTCATTTTTACGTATCTTGCAGCCTCAACAATCACCGAGCTTGCATAGACATTTGTCGCGAAGAAAAAAGGCCAATCAGCTGTCTTGAGCTTTGCCCCGCAGCAAACCCAAATTCAACAGCCTCTATCGCTCTAGGTCTCATCAATACGCTGGAAACATTATTCATCATATCCATTCCTAACTTGGTACCGTGTGGCATCCGTCGCCACGTCTTTCCGAATTTGCGGGTGTTGAGAAGCGAATACTGCCAGTCGCCAATAATGAATCTGTATTGGTTGCGTTGGCCTATGCTCAAGACTGTCGAGGTCTTAGTCACTTCTTATAGATCTGGAAGTATCTACTGGAGAAATATACTACAAGAACATCAACTTCCAACTTTCCGAAAACATCCAAAATTACAACATATTGTTTTCACGACTGTTGAAGGTGACCACATACAAGACTATTTGGCTGACTCATTTGCAAGGGTTGGAATCATTTGTCACTTCATGCCTCAATTAAATACAAACCAACTTGCAGTACGTTCCAAACTTTTCTTCTCACAGCGAAAAATCCTTATATTAATGTCCTTTATTTGGCAGACTCTTCCCGACCGACTCACACTTGGGACATAGTTAGTCAAAGCTTAGTATGGAAATTTTTTGTGATTAAATTAAATGTTTACGTTCGCTTTTGGCCATGTCTTGTATTTTCCGTCTTTCATTATTTATATTGATTAGGACACACTATTGCTACACACTCTCAGATTTTAAGGTATGATGTGTGAAACACATCTCCCGCTCAATTGCGAAATTGTAATAAAATTTGACCATATGCCAATGCAGATCCGGGGAGCTACCCACCCTGAAATACTACAGGGGTTGCTCCGGTGGATTCCTGCCCCAACGCTCCCAATTGGGATTTCCCGGACAACTTGGCCCCAAACACATCACAATGTAAATCCATCACCAGATTGAAATTCGACCACTATGTGATCCTCATATTACAAACCACCTCTATATGATACTTTGAACCTCAAGCAAAAATCACTAAGTCCCGCTCAGACCATCTCCAACGCTTTCATGGGCTCAAAGGCCTTAAGATTAACTTGGTGTGTAAGTAACGGAATCCTCATTCAGCCCGTCAAGCTCAATGTCATATCACTGATAATCTCATCGACATGCTCCAAAAAAGACTGCGCAATTTAACTCGACCGAATTGCCAATCGCCCTCAAGTATTTGTGTGAAATCAATAGCCAAGAACATAGATATGCAACTCTCAAGTCCAGGCGCAAGGCAAATTGATTGACAATATGTTAAAATTCATATTCAAGCGGGAACAGCATTGTCTTGGGAATCGCTCCAGGTGTGTTTTGCTCCTTTCAATTGTAGTAAAACGAAGATCAACTGATTTGGTGCATGGCACGTGGTTGTTGAATTACGAGCTTTGATTTGCTCAATCTCATCGTAGAGCCCATCACCGCGTAAATACCAAAACTCGGCGAAGGTGCCGATAAACTTGGCGATTAAACACTGCCAATAGAGATTGACGCACCTGGTTCCAATGCCGCCCTCAAGGTAATTGTCTACATACCTGGCTTCATCACGTGTTCAGGCTAGGTAACAACAATTCATTTGAAAATATTAAGCATCTCAAGGCATTACCTGCAATACAATTCGTAAATTGGTAATCAATGCCCCAAACTGATCCCAAGCTCGATGCACAATCATGTTTCACTCGCTTGAATTCTTCACGTTTACCTACATAATAGTCTTATTAACTTTGTTTCAAGCGGTTTCCGAGATTGGCTTCAAATTTGGTTAGTCATCTGCGACCGTTGCCTCACTGTCAATAACATTCCCTTGGTATGGTACTTACATTGTTTTTGAATTCTTGAATCAAATAGCCTGTGATAAGCATTTGTCAGTTATTACATCATTATTCTGTCTATCGGGTGAAAATCTCGGTTCCCTTTTTTCAACATCCAATCACCCTTGAAAACCTTCCAGGCCAGTAACATATCCTTATCTCAAATAACCCAGGAAAACCATGAATTTCGGATTGGTTCATATCACCCTAGCGTCGGCTCATAAATTTCCATAGAGAAATTCGTTTATCGGTTTCATTTGTTAGCTGTGATGAATGATCACGAGGTAACCATTCGAGAGCTCGAAGATTGTGTATCAAATCAAAATCAACAAACTTAGGGGAACTGCGTAATAAAGTTAGATTTCCGCATTGTCGAAAGCGGTCCTACTATATTGAAATGTATGTAAAGAATATATAAACCCTTGCATTTGGACTGATGCGTTGATCCTGCAATCCAAAGCACATCAATCGAACCTTTTCGAGAATTGCAAAGTCCAGGCTAAAAGGCCTGCAAGTTTTCCTAGGTGCATTTGCACATTTTCCTATGTTGCCCTTAATCACATCTCACAAATCAATTTTTGCTTTCTGTTTTTTCCCTTACGCTTCAAACTCTGACTCCAACTACCATCTATTTATTTAATACGTCATGATCTTAGTCCACGACCTAAACATGCCGAGAGATGACTTCAGCAAACCAACCGGTCATGGTGTTTATTTCTCGGGCAATTTTGAAATTGAAGGCAAAGTAAAAACTTTCCCCAAATCTGGAACGTATTTTTAGACTTGCGTTAACTGTTTTTTTTGAAATAGGTCCCTTCCGACCTTGGAACGAAATCCGGCTATCGTAGTTATATTGTATTTATCAATTGCGGTGGGGCTGACCGTGATGAAGCAACTCGGTACGAAATCAGAGCAATTGGGTATTCTTCCCCTTCATCTGGACTAGAAGACAAACAAATATACTTTCTTCGTGGTCTGTTTTTTCCGACTAACACTGTTGAAACCGAAAAGGATTCCTTCTACTTTGAAGGAGCGGATCATGCTCTTATTGGTCCTGCCAATGAATTTAAAGGTGAAATCATGAACACCGTCGGCATTACTGGTATTGGAGTTGTGGCAAAACTAAGCTACGTGGTGGAGGAATGTTGCAAGAACTTGCGAGACAAGAATGAGGCCGAAGATCCAAAAACAACTGTTGTTACTGTCGAGCATACCAATTACCATCCATCCGTAAGTCTATCAACAAACACCAATTTCACTTTGCTATCCCTGCAATTAACGCTTTAGTGATCTTTCTCAAGATTAAGCCTGCGCCAATATTCTACGTCGAGTATTGTGTGCGCCCATATAAATACCTTTCGGGTATTCCGAGAATTCTCAAGCTTGGTCGTGAGGCCATCTTCCATGGCTATCTCAAAGATTACAACGAAGAAACTCGTTGCTATATTGTAATTGTAAGTTTTTATGCCTTCGCTTTATTTCGGGATACTTAATATGCGCTGGAAACAGGCCAACAGAGTGTCAACGACCTCGGGTCATCGGGACGGCACGGAATTCGAACACAAAGCCGTTAAGGCCGAAGGCGTTCAAAATGGATCAGGTCGCCCGAAACCAAAAAAGTAAATAAATTCATCCGTTATTTGGTGAACTAAAAACTGCATACTTTGCTGACTGATAGTGTACGCAAGGTTTACTCCAAAGCCCGTCACCGCACCATTCAAATCACCAATGATTGCTACTGAGCCTGCTAATGATCCTCAACCAAGACCAGCGGAACACCCCACCGCATCGATGTCGGAGTCGGCCTCAGGTAGCGAATCTGAAATAGCTCTCAGCAAGGTACCTAGCAAAAAGAAGCGCCCAGCGGTCGTCGCTGGTAACAAAAGACCTCGAGCCCGCCCCGCGAGAAGAACCTCAAGTAGCACTACCCTTGACTTGACCAACTGAATTTAAATTGAAGATCATCATGATCATGTTTTGATTTCTTGCTCTACGGCATGAATCAATCATCGGGGCAATGATGAAATATACTTCTTCCGGAATACAATTCCCTTGATTTCCATAAACCGAATTGTGATAGATATTGAAGATAGTGTGAAATCCCCAAAAATTATTTCCTAAAATTACTACAAATGAAATCATCTTAACTTTTTTCTTTTGTGACGTATGTTTGGAAGTACAACTCTGTTCTCCTGTTATTGTCCTGGGCATCAATTTCAATATATGCAGAGCCAACAATGTAATTTCACAAACGTGCCAATTTTTGGGAACTCTGAGTGCACTTGAATTTTAAATCAACATTGAGACAACTTTTGATATCCTTATGGTGAACATTCCAACACTGAGTTTTGTGGTCTGAAAATTGGACTTCCAATTGAGGATCCTTTATGATTAGTATTAATTTAATAATGCGGGATGGTTCTTGAGATGATTTTACCATGATGAAGAATGATCATCTCGGGTAAATTCCTCGGAAATTAACTTTCGTTAGCTTTTGATATTGCACAACAACAATAATGATTCTCAAAATTGTAAGTCAAGGTCACAAGCTTATGGTTGTATTATGTAATGTGTCGTTGCATAGAAGGTGTTGAGAATAATTTTGATAATGTTTGGAATCCCAAGACTATTGATTATTCCCGTGAATTGTCAAAAACCCGAGCGAGGCCAAAATAATTAGTTGTGCTTTAAGTAACATACATGAGACATGTGGACAGTAGGAAATTGAAAAAATACTTAAATACAGCATTGAAAAAACTTGAAATTGCCTGAAACTAGACCCTAAATTCAAGCGCGTTCCTTCATTGAATCCATAATTTTTTCTTCTTTTGAATTGATACTTCAATTGTTTTCTGTTTTAGCGATCTAGAATCCGAATACCAAATTTTCAATTGGGTACGTTCCTTGACTTCATTTTACAATTCTTCGAGATTTGATTTGGGCTTATTTACTTGCTTCCTTGTGTAGCGGTCAGCGGGTAAATACCACCGCGACATAATATTCGTTGTTTCATTGATTTCACAACACCGGCGAAATCAACTTTTCGAATCAATACCTTGATTGATATACTTGCTTGGCGGTATCTCTTGCTTGAACCCACGAATAAGGACCTCAAATTTTAAACCAAGTACGTTTGGGAATTGTCATTTGTTTCAATCTTTTATTTTTCACCTTTCATATGCATGTCGTGTCAAATCCATAGTTTGGTAAACATCAACAGTCAAAGATAACAGGACTCAATTTCCAAATGTGGGACGAGACCGTAGTCTACTACCTTGTTGTTTACTACTCTACGAAGATTGAACGATTGTGCAGGTTGTCTGCCAGATAACATAAACTGATAATCAATTATCTACTACTTGATTGTGAAAGTTTTAATAGAAGCCAATACTTGGTTGAAATTAATCACGCTCTCGAAGATCACAATAGCAAATCGCTTTGAATTGCAAGTAAGTATCCAGCTCATTTGTCTGTTCACAAAACATAAATTATAATCATCTGGGTGAATAATGTGTCAATACCGAGAACATGTCAGAGATCACTTACCGAGATAACAGGATCCAGTTTCCAAAGGTGGGACGGAACCGTAGTCTTGGAAAGTGATTTTAGTCACACTCTCGGTGTTGAACAATATTCATTCAAATCAAATTCCCTTCGCATTTTCTCCTTTTCTCCTTATGATGTCAAATTTGGCAGTGTGTTAACGCCTGGCCTCCTTGCCTTTTGCATTTAAGTGTTACAGTCTCCGGTGATCGAGAGGAATACGACTATGTAAGATGTTTGTTTCAACTTCAAATTACGAATACGGTCTCGGAAAGTTAATAAGATGGGCTCAAGGCAGTGAAATTTACATATGTTCTAAAATTCGTTTTACACCGCTTTAATCCAGAATCAATCCCAAAACAAAGACCAAAGCAAAGAAGAAACGATCAACCAGTAGTTCAAAATACAACAAGACACGTGACAAAAATCGGGGACATCTCAAAGCCAAGCTTAAACTGAAGCAGGAACTTGGAAATCACCCTCACAGGAATGATGCCCGAGCAACTGCTTTCAAATCGCTACGTGCTGAACTCAGTAAACGTCTTGGTATACCTGCAGACTCACGCTTATATTTCTTGAAAAAACACGACCGAAAGACTCTCCCTAAAAAACCTCGCCTGAGAATCAGTTTTGGTAATTCTGTGTTGCTAGACGCGGATACTTGGAAAATCCTACAAGTAAACCGATTCATACCTTTCGGCAAAATGAACGGCGAAAAAAAAGAAGAAATGGAGTTTGTTGTTCAAACTTTGTACCAACATACATTAGCACGAGGGAAGGTTGAGATTAATAGTTCGGTTCAAGGCTTGAAAGACTGGGGCGAGATGAGATCTGCGGGATTTCGACCAGGCTCAGACAAAGGCCGTAAAATGGGTTGAGTACATTTGCTAAAGATTCTGCCAGTGGGTGAACGACGACCTGACATTCGATATGGACATTCCGCAGGAGTCACTGCTTTGAATGCAAAGACTGGGAAAAATAAAGAACTGATCTTTGAAGATCAAGAAAGAATGCTTGATTTGGCCTTGATCAACGAAACACTAGCGGAATGGATGTCTACGCTGTGCATGCATGCTTTTAAATCAAACAGAGATTTGGCCATCAAACACGAGATCCCATCATTTGCCGATATAGACTGGTCGAAGTCACCAAATGCGAATATTTTCGCATCGAGCGTCGTGGTAACAAGAGATGGATTCAACAATAATCCACACAATGATCGTGATGTTAGCGCTTACACCTACGGTATCTTCACTCGCATAAATCGTATTACAGGCCTACTTCATTGCGATGAAACATCAGACTATCTGGGTTATACGACCGGAACGTACTTCATCCTTGATGAATATCATGTCGAGTTGGCTTTGGATCTTTGCGACGGTGTTGTGGAAAGTATTTGGGCATCAGACGAAAATCACCACACTTCTGCTTCAACTACATATGAAGAGGGTCATATCTCTATCGCTCCCAAGTATTCACCCATCACAAGATTTGGGTGTTCACTCCAGATCAACGAGTCCCTGCTGAATCGCATTGAAGGCTTATTGAAGATGAGAGAAGGGAAAACGCCTCAAGAATGGGAGTTGTATAAAAAAGAAGTGGTCAAATGTTATGAACAAGAAATTGATTTCAAACTAAGCAAACTATAAATCTCTATGCTGCATGTTTAAGCTGTGCACGAGACTAAATCTTGTTTTCTCGAATTTCTAGAACGTGCTCAAAGAATTTCTTTTGCAATTTAATTTCCAATGTGGTTTTTTATTTGATCAGCTTTGACAGGAAGGGTTATCAACTCAAAGAGAAAGTGTGATACTGCTCTAACTTGAACAACTCATGATCACAACAAGAATAACTGTTAAAATTGGCTTATTTGCAACATGAACGCGGGATTAAGTCTACAGCCCAGATCTTAAGTCTAAATGCACCAGAAATTCCAACATTGTTCTTACAAATAATTCAAAATGCCGCAAGTAAGTCCAAGTTGGATCTTGATGTCAGACGGGAAGAGACGATGCAGGCACCGAGTAAGCGAACACAAAATTGATGTGAGAAAGGCCACGCTTTTGGTGCTCGATTTCCGCATGCCATACAATCGAGATCAAATTGTGATTAGCACGACTAGCAGGTTCATTGTGAAACTCAGAACCTAAAAGGATCGTGGATACTAGAACACGAGCGAAACTTGGTTATTCATTTCAATAACAAAAAACATGAAATAGAACCTACAACCGCTGCCTACGCCATTTTCTAGAACGCTGCAATTACAAAGGCGTTGATCAACCAATTGTGAAATTTTGAAATGTAAATGAGAACTTGTTACTTACTCTCGAAGGGGTAATCCCATAATATCGAAAGTACTATCTTGTGACAAATACCTGCCCTCCAAAACCAAAGAAAGGGGTGATCGCCAATCAGATTGAGGTCCAACAAATTCATAACGAGCACATTGGTTCTTAAAGTCAATAAAGTGATGGTAGGGCATATTTCCCCGGAATTCACAATACTCAGAAAGAAGCGTATGAATTTTGGTGTGAGTAGCATACATAGTTTGTGCAACTTCTTCCGCATTATTCGCTATTGGAGAGATATTGCGAAGACTATTTAAAAATTCAAGGATTTGAAATCCGACAGGCATAATTACTATGTATGATCGAAGACCAGAACTTTAACTTTTGATAACTTTTGATGTGAAGCTGGGATGTGTGTGATGCTGGGTATAGCCACGGAAATAGCGTATAAGTACTTCAATTTCCTGCCGCCTAATCATGCAAACAAAATACTATGACACGTACCATTAACGACCATCGGAGATGAATTGGGGTTGAAAACCTCCTATAACGAGTATCAACTGAGTTTGGATGTGGGTTTGTTCGTGAATCACTCGAGAAATGTGAAATATTGCCGGGAAACGAGTGAAAGCAAATATGGTAACAGGTGGCGGAATATTAATACTTGAATGCAGAAACACATTTGGAAATCAAATACACGAGGTATAAGCGATTCGAGGAGATTTTAAAGGTGATCATGACAAACATGTTTATCGCGTACTTGACATCGTGTTGAATGAAACTGCTTTATGACATTAACAATTTCGCAAATGGCTACTGGCAGCAATTGCTGTGCTGCTTTTGGCAGATCATCATTGGAGCTCAATTGAAGTGGGAAATTCGATTTGCCATTTACGAGAGAAGTTTCAATATAAGTTTTTCTCAGTATCTGCAAAATTCACAGAAACTAGGCTCGGGAAACTAACGAACAAACACGAAAATATAACAATGGGTGGGACATGAATCATTGAGAACTTTTAGGCATCAGGCGACCAGAATGTTGAGAGCTTGGAAAGATCCCTGCCGCGGTTGTGGAAATTCAAAATCCAAATGAATACTAATTCCGCGTTTGAAGATTGATTCAGACGCTGGCATAATGTGTGATTCGGAAGCAGGACGCAAGGGTTGCAATAAAGGTTATGGCATCAACTCACAAGTATTGAAAGTAAAGTGAAGACACCTTCAAGCTTTGGGGTATTAGCATCGTCTGGCTCTTCCGCCTCTCGACAAGATATATGATGCAATTGCAACGCAAACAGTATGTATAATGGATTCAACATGAGAAAGAATACTCCGGAGACTAACGAGTTGTATTTGTGATCGATGGATTATCATTATCAGCAAGATTTAGATGGATCCTTTAAGATACCATTCTCAAGTAGGATGAAAATATATACCACGAGCATCAGCGTATCATCAAATAACATTCTCGCTGCGAGTTTGAGGAGCGAGAGGCTATTGGTTGTAGCCTTTGCAGGTGTGCAAGTTTCCAATAGTATGTACGCGTGCATCGCCTATTGTTCCTTCTAAATTATAAGATTTACAAGCAATCAAATTGTAATGAGGCCATGAACCATCTTACGCGACTATTGCAAGCCTCAAGGATTTTTAGTGTGTTCATACGACTAGGATAATGATGTGAGTAGTGGAAAGATCCCTACTCTAACTCAATAATTGCTGTTTGATGAAGTGATTGCTCTAACCTTGCAACAAAACCCAATTCCACTCAAATCTATCTCATCTTTCTGCTTTCCTCAAGGGTCTTAGGTGGACTGACACCCAATTTGTGAATCTTGGTCTGTATGCCTTGTCGTGCAGCGGTACGACGTCAAAACCAGGGTCTTGCGATCCGTGCGGAAGAATTCGGAACGGAAGCAAATCTCCTTCATCGGTTTCATGGTGAAATTCCCTTTACGTACGCTAGGGCCGCAAAACAACCAATGTACGGGTTGTGGTGCATTAAGATGGAAGGCGGAGCGCAGAGTCAAAGACGCGAATCTCCTGGCCACGACCTTCCGAAATTGTTGTAACCACGGACAAGTCGATTTACCTTTAAGGTACTTTCCTCAAGACGTTGGCGAACAAGTCCCGGAATTCTATAAGGCCCTGTTGAGAGAAAATGATGAAAGTAAGTCGCATATCTGGCGATGAAGGATACCTTGTTGATACTTGGCTTCCAGGATCTAGAAAATTCCGAGAAGATATCCAGAAGTACAACAACGGTTTATCATTTACGTCCCTTGGCGCGAAAATCGATTCCAGTGTTCTGGGCCAACAAGGCCACAGTATCTTTCGGATTCAGGGCCAAATGTTTCACCGAATGGGATCACTAATGCCGATGCCTGACGATCATCCTGGGTTTGCCCAACTCTATATCTATGGAGGAGGGGGTGAGGCAGAAGCTCATTTGAGAATTCAACGCACCAGGGTTACTCGTCTAGAACCAGAAATTATGCTACAACTTCAAGAATTCATGTACGAGGTCAATCCCTACGCTCAGCGTTTCAGATCAGCTGCCAAAATCTGTAATGAAGATGGACCTGTGCGCACGCTCCAGATCAACACACTCACGATCCCTGGCACCGATCATCGCCGTTATAATCGTCCAACAGCGAACAAGGTCGCTGCGATAATCGAAGGTGATGGAGAAATTGGTCGCTATGGGCGTGATATTGTCTTGAGGCGGCAATCGGGGGAAGTAGAGGCAATTTCGGAATTGCACACGGCCTACTTTGCCCTACGCTATCCTTTGTTGTTTCCCTACGGTTCTCAAATGTGGCACGATTTCTATACCAACCCAACGGAGGATGGTATGATTTGTTCTCTGTAATACAAAAGTCTTAATTTGCACTAATTTTTTGTTACTGACTTAGATCCCGAGGGCACGGTCACATGCCTTAAGTGGTTCGCATTCTTACTTTTCAAACGACCAGCCTATTCAGTTATCCTCGCGTCGGGGCGACTATTTCAAGAATTTGTGGTGGATATGTATGTTTGTGTAGAACACGCTCGACTAAACTTCATCCGATTGCACCAAAGAGAACTGAGAGTTGAACTATACAGCGGAATAGTTGAGGCACTTGGAAATGAGGTCGAAGACGAAATAGTTGGACGCCGTGTAATCTTGCCTTCGAGTTTTCTAGGCGGTCCACGTAATATGCAAGCTCTGTACCAAGATGCGATGAGCTTGGTGGCAGAATTTGGACACCCGAGTTTATTCATCACGATGACCGCGAACCCACAATGGAGCGAAATCACAGAGGCACTAGAAGACGACCAAACTGCGGATGACCGTCCTGACCTTGTGGCGCGCGCTTTTCACCAGCGTTTCCATGCAATGCTTGCGGACGTGACAAAATGGGGACGTCTTGGTAAATTCACAGCTTATGTATACTCAATTGAGTTCCAAAAGAGGGGACTTCCTCACGCGCATTTGATCTTGTTTTTGAATCCTGAGTCACGGCCGACGACACCAGCAATGGTAGACTGTCTGATCTCCGCTCAGCTACCGGATCCCGAAAGAGAGCCAGAACTCTTTCGACTGGTATCCCATCATATGCTCCATGGTCCTTGCCAAAGGTACAAGTGTTGGACGGGGACGAAATGCAGAATCGGATATCCTAAGCCATTCTGTGAAACAACAATGCTACCAGACAATAAATACCCAACTTACAAGCGACCCTGCAATGGCCGGTTTTCAATCAATGGTAACACAAGATTTGACAACGGCAGCGTAGTTCCATATAACCGCTTCCTTCTCCTCAAATACCAGTGCCATATGAACATAGAAGTAGCAGCCAGTCTACGCGCAGTAAAATACCTATTTAAATATATTCTCAAAGGTCACAATCGAACAATGGCGAATGTGGAAGAGGAGGGTACTAGGGATGAAATCTTAGCTTTCCTAAACGCACGCTTCCTCAGTGCCCCGGAAGGTAAGCTTTCAAGGAAACACATTTAGAAAACTTAAGCTAACACATGTTCTTAGCGGTGTGGAGGCTTCTGCAGTACAAATTATCAGGCAGATACCCGGCAGTCCAAAGGCTGAATTTGCACCTAGAGGATGCTCAAACAGTTTACTACCTTGATGAAGCAGGTCTTCGTCGTGCGATGGATACTGGTCGCGCTCAGCGCACAACCTTGACAGAGTTTTTCCGTTTATGTTCAGAAAATTGTCAGCTGCCTAGATCGCAACTAACAATTCGCTCATTGAAATATCAAGAAGTGCCCAAGTACTTTAGGTGGGTGAAGTCTACGAAAAGGTTACAAGCTAGAAAGAACAAACTCCAGTCCATTGGACGCATCTACTACGCGGGAGTCAGACGTGGAGATGTTTACTATTTACGACTGTTGTTACAACATATCCATGGACCCACATCCTTTGCGGCCCTAAGAACGGTCAATGGGATTGTCTACAACTCTTTCCGGGAAGCAGCGGACGAACACGGGCTACTGTTGAATGATAGGCACTACCATCAATCTCTTACCGAAGCCGCCGTCTGGAAAACTGGACACCAACTCAGACAAATGCTGGCAATCATCTTGTGCCACAGTTCACCGGCGAATCCTTTACAACTATGGACTGAGCATATTGATCATCTGTCTGACAATTGTGAACAAAAACTCGAAATTTTGGTGCCTCATATACAACCTAGCATACATCATGTTCAAAACTATGCACTCTTTCTGCTCGAGAAGACAATCATAGGAATGGAAAGCAGCTTAGATACTGTGGGCCTGATGCCGGTAGACCAACATTTGCTCTTCGAACTCGACCTACCAGACAACGAGCGAGCGACAAATACCCAATTTGTTGACCCACGAGAGAGTCGCAGAAAGTACGAAGCAATGAAGGATAAACTTACGAACGAGCAACGCAACGTGGTCAATACCTTGTGCGAAGCTATCGACGTCACTCACATCTGACTGGCAGCCAGTTCTAGCTCCGCTACTTCAACGTTGTGGTGATCAATTTATGGGATCAATTAAAAAATTCACAATTACCAGTTTACCAGTTTATTAGCAGGATTCAGCAGGAAAGAAAATTCGAAATGGAGGTTTTTGATCAATTGAAGCTCTTGTAGGCTTATGTATTGGTCATTAGGTCAACATTACATTATTTTATTTCACATATTAAGATCATTATAGTTTACTTACAAATTTATTACAAAAAGAAAGAAAGAAAAACATAAGAAAAATTCGAAATTATAGGTATAAAGGTTGGAAAATGGTTTTTAGGTTAGTAAAAATAAAGTTATGGGTATTATGAGGTTAGAATATGAAAGAACAACATTATATGATACTATGAAAATTTTAATCTTCAAGGTTGATAAGTAGAAACAGAAGTTATTAGGAAAAAAGCACTTTTTCGAAGTTGGTAAACAAGAGGTACACGTGTAGTTTGGTTGTGTAATAGTGGTAGTGATGGAATTTAAGGTTGCCAAGAGGATTTTCCGGGATTTTTAAGGCTATAGATGA